TTATTGCTGACCGAGTCGTGGCTTGAACACTTTGTCAAAATGAAACGCACTCTTTTTGGCAGGAATGAAACCCACGTCGTAGCAGCGTCGTCGAGCTCGATTCGACGGAGCATTCCCAGCTTAATTCGTCCAGTCATGGTCGAACGGGGAAGGAGTTGTCACGCGTTTCCAATCCGTGTGGATCCTCTTTCGGAAGACGAATGCTCCGCATCTCCTTGAGCGACAGTTTCCTTACGGGCGGTGCTCGTTGATCGAAAAGTTAGAGACGACGATTTATTTCGCCGGGGACGGGAAAACATTGCGAATCAAAATTTCTGATGCGACGTTCTTGCTCGTGCTCACCCTCTGAACCATCTTATTCCGTCGGGGGCGAAACTTTCCGTCGGATGACAGAGTCCCAAGCCCGATTGATCGACTCCCCCTGTAACGAGAGCGAGAGTGAAAACGATCGATCTTTCTCGGACGGACGAAATCTCTGCGGTCTACGAGACTGGGTGAACGTGGACTGTCGGTGGTGTAATTGGAATCGGATGAAAATTAACTTTAAGTTACATTAACGTTAACTGACGGTTCACTTTAACCGGACTTATTAATTGGATGCTGAAGCGTTTAGAATGGAATCGATCACGTAACGAGAAACACTTCAAGTGGGTACACTATCCTGGGGCGTCGAAAAATGTGAATGAAATTTGGGAATTTTTTTTTAATTCATAGGTAATTACTAAATGAAAACTTCCAACTTTTCAGAGGATATACATATATATAGTTTTCAGCTTTATTTTCCAATTTTTATGAAAGGAATGACAATACAGATTCGCGGAGATATTCCTTACTTCCGAAAGCTGTTCTACTAGAATATAAATTGCAGAGACTGAACCGTTCGAAATAAAAAATGTATTTTGATTTATGAATTGGGATGTATTACTTAGAATGTACCGTAGAGCTTTTTTAAAAATTTTAGTAATCATAGAAATGGTGGTAGTTTGAAGAACATAAGATATGAAGAAAAGATTCTTAAAAAAATTATTTGATATGAACGGGGACATTATGTGGTTTTAGCAATTCCTTTGCAAATAGAATAATGGGACAGATTCCAAGACCAAGTTAAATTTTGAAACAGAGTGCTATATTTCTTTTTACACATGATACCATTTAGACGAGATCAACGATATTTCACATAAGATAGAAGATTGTTGTATCATTCCACTCATTATAAACTATGAATATTCCAACTGGTCGTCAACTCATGGATAATAATTTATACGTAAACTGAATATAACAGAGTGCACCAACAAAAATCATCGCATCAAGTATCACAGAGATTACAGAAACAAGTGCAAATTTGTCAAATATAAATTTGTGACAATAGAATCCATTAAAGAATTCCAACGATCCATTTACCAGGTTTTCACCGAAACGCTCCAAGCGCACACGGAAACAGTGGGTCAATTACAAAACCGGGTAAAAAAGGGGAAAACTTTTAATACCATCGATCCAATTTCTCATTGAGAGCAACGAGACAATAATAGATTCGAAAGCGATACAGTTCAGCCTGTAACGGGGATCTAATAACGATCGCGGCGGATCGTGAAAACAGAGTCGACAGGGGTGGGTTAGGGGTGGTTGGAGGGGGATGCACGAATGCAAACCAGGAACGGGGGTGAATTTAGAACGACGCGAACAGCGATATCGATTTCGCGGCGCGTTGGAAATGCCAGCGAATGACCGTGTCCGGCGCGTGACCAAAATTGAAATGATCTGCTTGTACAAACGATAAGCAAATCGAAGAGGGACCCGCGGTAAACGGCGGGTGAGCGACGTTAATTGGAAACGGGTTATCAGCTTTATTTTTTTCCCCACGTCGGTTGCCGCCAGGGGACTGAATATCGGCAGGCGTATCGAAAAAAAAAAAAATAATTTCGATACACGGCTTTTTGTACGTCCTCATATCCTGATCTCCGTTGTTCCGTCGATCGAACACTTCCAGCGCTACGGAGGCAGGAATGAAAAGGGGGAATGAAAAAATACACACTGTTTAATCCCCCCTTCGGTTCCACGACCTATAGGGGGGGAGGGCACACGATGTGAGCGTAAGGGATAGTCGGAACGTATTGTTATTAAATCTCCCTTGAAAACAGTCGGCGCCCGCGGGCCATTTAAACAATTTGTCCGATGTGCGGTGTACGAAAAAAGAGAGTCTGGCGTTTTTCTCGGAAATAATGATTGGATCGGTCCGGCGTTTGTCACGGGTATCCCGAAAACCATCGTTCCATCGATGCACCGATGGTTTTTTCTCTTCCGTTGTAGATTTCTTTTAGACTTGTTTGCGTTCCACTGTATCGGCGATTTTTGTAGTTTCCCAGGCGGTGTGATTTTTACGATGGCTGTTTTGGTTATTTCGTGAGCGAGTCCAGATGAAATTGCGATGAAACAGTGGCCCCCGCAGGGTCTGTTTTACAGTCAGGATAGGTGAGACGTGAATTTATATTGTATTACCAGATTTCGTTACTTTTTTTCGGAGGTTCATCGGCTGAAAGATAAAGTACTGGTTATATTTTGAATTATTGTAACGTAAAATGAAGCGAGAACATTGCGTTACTCGGTGCACGGTGAAATAGTCCCATAGACCAACGGAACGCAATTTTACGCTGGGCACAATCGTTTTGGCGTGGAAATCGCGGAAAACGCGAGACTTTTTTTTTGTCGACTAATTCAGGTCTTCATTTGTTATTACAGTTTGAATAGAAATGAAAATGGCGAATAAATATTGAAATTTGAATTAAAATATCTCGAATTACCGCGCAGTCGGATCTAAAGCATCGCGGGCAATTGGAATGGAACTGGTCGGCGATTAAAAATTCTGTAATTTCAACTACCGCGCTGGCTAGACCGCGTTCTGGAGGAGAGGAAAAATGAAAGGAAAACAGGGAAGAAAGGAAAACACGCGGTTCATGATGAAATTTTGCGGGTGCCAGGTAAGAAGTGAATTTTGATTTGGTGGGAAAGTTGGCTTCCACTTTCTACTTCGGGCCAGATTCCAGTCGAGATGTAAACTTCTCCGTTTGTTAGAATTAAAAAAGAAAATGGATATTCCTGAAAGTAGACAAATATGGAAACTCGACCATGCAGGAAATTGTGGGTTCCTTGAAAAGATTTTTTACAAAATGAGGTCTGGAATTCTCTTTGTTTGCAACGGATGTGTAACCAAACCTAATATTTCCTCAACTTGCAACTTACTACGTGTTCAACGAGAAACTCTTTCATTTAAGTAATCGGGAAATATAATAAAATTTCTGAGGGTATTTAAAACTTATTTATGTTCGTTTTAAAATGGAATCTAATATTTTTATTACATACATACCAGTCAAAAAATTTGGAATCATAAATCACTCCATATAATATGTTAATGTTGTAACTCATTATTTGCTGTACTTTTTTTCATCAACGAAGTAAATATCGTGTTATAGAGAGTGGTAATAAAAAATGTGGAACACTTTCACACCACGATTGGAACACATCGATATACAGGGTGTCTCAAAATAGCATCGACTTCCGGAAATGAGGGGTTACTGGGATGCTTTGAAATAACTTTTTCCTTAACAAAAATATTATCCCAGGCTTTGTCAACGAGATATTAACCGGTGAGACTGCCAGTCGAGTTCCCGCCGTAGCGTTGGCTACGCATTGCGACTGGTCGACGCCTAAGTAATAAAATTATTACAAGGTACGCTTCGTCGCCAAAAACAGGTAATATAATTATTACAAGAACATTTCAACAAAGACCCATAGCTGCCCTTAACGGGTCCAAACCGCCCCTAAATGGCAGAGAGTTCGATCAACCAACCGAGCACCACGCATGAACACGAGAGCGACGAAGGGTGAATCAACCGAATGCAAACTGCGGCAATTATCCGAACCACAGCTGCGCGGAAACTTTCCGTAACGGATCGTGTGCTACCGCGATTAATAACCTGTATTAATTAAAGCAGTAACGGGTCTCGTGCAATTTGCGGAGGGAGGGGGGAGGGTGGTAAAATCTCGACTTGGCTGGCAGCACGTTGCGTCTTTGACCACTCATTTATTCCACGTCGACCGACGTGCCGCGTTCGCCGTCATCGGAGGATCTCAGACACGGTATTGTTCCTAGGACAAGAAGGAGCGACTCAGGGCGTATAATTAATCCCGCCGCATTCGATCGTCGCACGATAGGTTCGTCCTTTTACGATGTTACTACACTTTGCTTGTACAGCCATTGAGACTTTCTAGAGGGAGAATTATTGAAACAGGAAAAAACTATCGCGAAATTGTAATATACAGACTGATAAATAAAGGTACATAACTTCTAGGGTTGGATGACAATGGATTATCATTTCGTTCTTACCTGGTTACAGAACGTTTTCTACAATTTTTTTTAGTTTCTTTTAGAATTTTCTTCAATGTCTCTGTACGTTAGGGTAGGTCCTGAAGCGAGAAAGTCACTCGCTCTAACCGAAACGTTGTGTCTTTTAATGGACAAAGGTTGTGATACAAACAAACTTTTCCTTTCGTGTTATGTTCAAGGTTATTCGAAGGTCGTCGATGTTTCCTTAAAAGGTATCATGCAACTTTTAGCTTTAAAACCTTCTAGCTGATTCCAAAACGAATTCAATACCCTAATATGCTATGACCTTGAAATTCCCTTGGATTGAAAAATCTAGATTCGAAGAATTCATACAATCAGAAAATATCAAGAGGAAAAAAAAGCGGAATGTATCGGATATCTCGTTTGAAGAAAGCTATTGCACATTTCAATCCAATACAAATTATTCTGCGAAAACTTAAGCGTTTCCGTTTCGATCCATAGAAACAGCGATTTCATATAGTACAATCTAATACACCTCCATTCGCCAAAATGGGAAACGTCGTAACGCGTTCAACGGGAAAGATTATTTCCTCAATCTTTTCCCATCAAGGTTTACGTTCACAAGTTCCCGTGTTAACGACAACGCAATTGTTTTCAGGGTCGGCGAGGGCGGGCTCTGGAACGTATCAAAGGAGATCGAAACTCCATCCAACGATACCTACTACACCATCACGGGCCTGCGACCATTCAGCATCTACAGTTTCCGTGTCTCGGCCGTGAACGCGATGGGACGCAGCAAGCCAAGCGTCGAGTCCTACTACATCGTCACTCTACGCGAACGTATGTTTTTCCAATTGTAATTACCGTCATTCCCCTTCATATCGGTAGGGGGATGGCCGGATTTCGACCGGTTACTACGGCCGAGTCTCGCGATAAAACGATACCGTTCGAAGTTTCTACGATTCACTTTTATGGGAGATCCGTATCATTGGCTTTTCCGCTCGCAGTTCTCGGAACTAGGGCGAATAATTCATAGTCGAAGACGTGGGGAATGTCGGGAGTTGAAAACTTTCGATCGAAATTATTTGCCTCCTGAATTCAATCAACGGAAGTGCAACGTTCGATACTAGTAACCATGGACTTGCCATGGTTTAACCCGTAAAAAAAGGTTTCGTGCATTGTAACTCGAGACTCAGGCAAGATAATAGCTGAAAACGTACAGCGTTAAACTATTTAATATCGTTAAATACGTTACTCGGACGAAAACGTGGTGAATGCTGGAACAAAATCGGGGTTTTTTCGTTTGGAATATAATATCCAGTATCCGTGTAATTAAATACCGGTGTAGGGAAACGTACTAGCTTCCACGTTTTGCGAATAATTATTCGGAAAATTGGAATTCAATGGACGCACTGATAACCTGGCGTATAATGGGTTGGCTGAGAATGTTAACGATAATAATCGGAACCACGAGGAAGAACAAGAATCTCTTGTAACATTTGAATGTGCCAATAGAACATTCGTTATGATTGCAAAGAAAGGTTCTCTTTTGTGAAGACAATGTTGAATTAACTTGTATTCTTACAGACCTTTCTCCGGCCACTCTAGTAACTTTTGCCTTACCACTACCACGAAAAGTCTGTAACTCCTTAACACACTAAAATCTAATCACCTAACATTAGACGTTGTGAATACTTTGCTAATTGGCTAAAATCTGCAAATCGATTTTCAGTAGGTACTAATGCACACAACTGTGTAAATGGCATTCAATTTCGTAACACAGTAGTGTCTAAATGGCCACATCGACTCTCCTTGACAGCATTGATCCGATTAGTCTAATGGCTTCCTCGCATAATTCGTACTCTATGTCACGAATGAAGCTACGAATATTGTTCTTATCCTGATAACATCCGTTGAATTCTCATGAATGCACGTTGAACAGTTCGCAATCGACAGTCGTTCAGAGCTCTGTCATTTCTATTAACACATTACCTAATGCCTGTTACTTAATAGATTAGTAAATCCAACGATTAACAGTCAAGGAACTATTATTAAACAGTTCAATCACAGTAGCATATAACATTCATGAAAAATAGCAAGCACTCGAATAGACTAACGTAACAACGTTTCTTCTTTAACCCTGATCTAATGGTAAATTAATTGGCTTGTTATCTATGAACACTGAAATTTAAAAGTCTACTAAGAGAGTATCAGTTAATAAAGTGTTAAAATATCCTATATTTCTGAACCTTAAAACCGTTTGCGAACAAGTAGTCCGGGCGGAATCGCGCAAGCCAATAGAGTATTAAGAAGCATCCTTGAGCGGTCATTCGTACCGTTGCAGCTAGTAAAATTCCCAGGGGGATGATATAATCGATGTTGAAACCGTGTCAGGGATGTCCATGGGAACGAGACCCTCGGGGCCGATCCTCGAGCCCGCGAAAACAAACGTTCCGAATTCCAGCGAAAAAGCTGCTACCCGCGCGGGGAAGGGAATGGGGTCGTCGGGCGAGAAGAATGGTTTAGGGCGGGTTGGTTCTCCGCGGCCTGGGTGGAGGAGCGTCGCAAGGGGTTGCAGGCGACTAAAGAGGCGCTAATTGCAGCACAGGAAGGAGCAATGTACATGGCTTTCCCGTCTCTCCGTCCGACCATTCCCCAGTCGCGTCGCTCCGAGCCTCCGTTTGTCTTTCCAGCTTGGCCAGTCTGGAAAATAGGTTGAGCAGCGCAAGCTGAGCCCTATAAATTCTGTCAACGCCGCCGGGATTGGCCGACACCCGGTGTATACCTACGGAGCTCGACAAACTTTGCGCCGGGACGACGACGACGACGATGACAAAGACGACGGCCTAGCACCTTAACCTGTGCTCTGCTCCGATGGTTACGGACCAGGCCAACCTGGATTCCCATGTGTATCGCGGCTCTGGCAATTAGCACGTCACTCGGAGACAAGGGGCTATCTGTGAAGATTTCCGCGAGTGATAGCGCTGATAGAGTCAATGAGGGCTGCTTTGGTTTGATGTATAAAGGTTTGATCAAAAAGTTCGGGGACTTTATGGATAAATCGTTTATTGTTAATCTTGACAGTAGTTACGTAGAATGACCTTCGAATTGGTACCACTCTTGGGATTCTGGTGGGTCTAGGGGATGCATTTGGTTCTTGTTGTCTATGTTGTGAGTGGATGATTATATTGAAGATCGTGACGTTTAGAAATTTAGAAGAGTCACTTTTTTTTTATAGTGATTGAGGGGAAATCCACTCCCGCTTTGTACGTCCCATTTGTGATTCGACATTTGTCATATTGAATTAGAGGCCATTAAAAGAATAGCATGAGGAAAGGGACGCTTTCCAACTACGCCTTTGAAGCTGCAGTTGTGGTAGTGTTGGCCATAAAGTCCTCTTCCGTCGAGTATGTATTTTTCGAGGATACCTATTATTATTATAATTATTGATCACAATGATAACACGGGTAGGGTAGTAATGTATAGACGAGGGCTACGTAATAACAGGAAGCACGTAGTGCAGTAACGCGTAGTAGCTAGAGGATTAAGATAGCCCATTGGTCATGATTTCTACTATCTTGGTAGCTTGTAAGATTCTTCATATAAGGAGGCCCTCAATTTCCTTAACCAACTAAAGCTTTGTTAGTTAAATTCGTTTATCGTCATTTATTTGATATAAAGGAATAAAGATTTTGTAACTGTACATCGTAATGAAGTTAATGGAAACTGTAAATAAATTTAATATGAAAGCAGCTGAATATCGACACAGTCGTATAAAAATATCTATTCCCAGGAAATCTCATTTAATCTCATTAATATTCTGTTTAATATTGATATTATATTTCTTCGTTAATAAATACCTAAACATGCAAATTAATTCAGCCACAACTACGGCCAACAGAAAATTAAACGCGTGGAAACTGAAAACCGATTATTTGAATAACGTAATAATGTCATATAAATCGCGTTTCACAGGGCGTTTTATTAAAACACGGATCATTCAAGAAGAAATTTAATATTTTGGAACTGTGCGTCGATGAATCAGAAATGTTAATATAGTAATAAATATATTTTGAAAGTCGTTTCAAAATATTTGATTCGCTGTAACATCGAAACTGGTCACTTTTTGTATTTATTGTACAAGAAATGATTCGGTCAATATTGATAACAAATACTATTTGAATTCCATAACTAGCCACTCGGTAATTACGATAAAAACGTATAAACTTTCGGAACAGACGTATGCACATTCATTACGAGCACACTTTTACCCTTTTACAAGGCAATGGCAATCAAATTGCCACCAGCTTCTTTCCCTGTTTACCTTTCGAATTTTACATTTACTCGAGAAACAGGTTATTTCACGAAATTCAGATAAATCTATAACTCGGCTCAATAAAGGGTTTAAACAAGGATTTTCCACCTGTAAACAAACATGGAATAATCGCGCGTGTTCGAGCGGAACATCGCGAATTAATTAAACGCACTCCCTGCGCGATACCAGCATCAGGGGTGGAGAGGGATAGCAAGGTAGAAAAGAAATTAGGTGTACGCGTTTGACTCGCCGCCAAATGTGGGCGCGAATGAACCCGTTTCGAAATCTCTACCGTGTTTTCGAGCCAATCGGTGGATGGGATCGTTGCCGAAAGGGATCGAACGGCGTGGATTCGGGTGCTATTAAATACATAAACTCGGCTCCACGGGCATCGAGATCGCAGCCGGGTTCATTATGGTAGCACGTGAAATAGGAATAATTATCCAGTTATCAAGGCCCAGACCCGCATTCGTGGCGGGGAACGATTCGCGGGCGGAGCAACGCGAGCTCGTGTCAATAACTAATTTAAATACCGGGCGAACGTCAACCCAAACAATCTACGGGTCCCCCGCGAACCATTCGAGGGAAAAAAAGCAAATGGTGGCGCAGCTAGTTGTTAAACCGAACGCGATTATACTCGTTTCGCGATATTGCTTCCCGGCGACTCGCGTTTTTTTTTCTTCTTTTTTTTTTTATTTCATCCTGCTCGCCCGTATTTCCCATTGGGCTGTTTTCCAGGTATGCGGCCGCCCGCCACTGCGCACGGAAACGACGTTTAAACGCGTCGTTTTCACCGGAAACCGTCAACAATAACGCCGTACGATCGCGCAAAACATTGACACGTTGAAAGTTCTGCCGGTTCGAAAAAAAAAAAAAAATAGCCAAAGGAAAAATCGCGGCGAACCTGAAAACTCGTGATTCCGTGAATATGTTCCTTTTGTTGGACAGAGGGATCGGTTAACGTGTGTGTGTGTTTGTGTGCGTGTAGTTTTGCGTGGATCGTTTGTGTTATCTATTGATGAAAATTCAGTTGGTGTTGTTGGTACGATCGAGCATCTGGTGTCTGTTATGTTTTGACCAGGCTCGTGTAAATGATGATTAAACTGCGGATTTTATGCATTCATCGTAAAAGTGAGCGTGAAAAACAAGATATAGTACAAATTTTCGTGAAGACTAGTATGAATTTTAGTTTACGTCTGGACCCAAAAGAACCTTTAATAACGGGAATAAATTTACAAGGTAATTTGAATTCAGTAAATAGATCTGTAAAAATATGAATTTGCATGAAATTCATATGTATATTTTCTCATAAATATATATATATGTATTAGTACAGTCCCTTAAAAAAGATATCCCATTGCCTGACACGATTCCGGGCAATCTGCTTATTTAAAATAAAAAAAAACAAATGTTTCTTCATTAGCATGAGTGAATCAGCATAAAATAAATATCGAAAATTTAAAAAATGTCGACATTTTGAAATTTGAATATCGATTTTCTCGGTTTTTTCTGTAGACATGCTTTT